GTATAATAAAATAATTTTAAAAGGTTCGAAAATTAAATAATTACAACTTCTTATGAGTATTGTCGTTATGGATAGTGCGTGAGATTTCCTAGCCAGATATCTCGGGTACGACTCCTATAACGTGCAATATATTGATACCTGTTATGACAACAAGTTTCTTAATCGAGGTGAATTTACACATTCCGTGGGAAAATTACCACTTGTAAATAACACGATGTTCCATAGTATAGATAATATACACATTATGATGATCCGGATAAGGGTACCCCTGTTGGACCTGGGTTAGTTATCAACTTTGTGGGGTCTAGGTGGTAGTGGCTTATCAACCCTATGTGCCCAATTTCTCCAAAGCGTGGGAGTAAGAGGTAACGCCCTTGTTCATAACCTCCGAGGCAAGATGTCAGCAGGTATTCAATATCACTCATACATAAATTTTTGTCTCTGTTTTCAAAAATAATTTCTAATATTTATTCTTAACTACTAAAACTTATTTAGTTTTCCTTCTGTTGCAAATTTTCTTAGAATAGTGACAATATTATTTTAAAATAAAAAATTACATGTGATTTTACAATTTTTAAGTTGGATTTATTAATGCCATTATTTAGTATGGAAAGGAGAATTATTAGTGATCACGATAATTATTAACTTCCAAATGATTGATAACGTAATATACGAAAGAAAATTTTCTGTTAGAATAAGTTATACTTGTCTCTTGAATTCGAATTGATATTACGAGGGAGTAGAGATAGATTAACTTCTAAAAAATTAAAGGAATCAAATAAGGAGATGTGTAATTGAACAGCCGCGGTGTAATTGAATGAGTTTGAACAATAATTGTTCAAGCAAAGTAATTTCGAAAAATTATTTATTGTTAATATTAACTTTACATTATTATATTTAACGAAGCTGTCAATTTTGCTTAGTAGAAGGTTTATTATTTTATTGAATAATATTTAAAATCAATACAAAAGCAAATTCTTTGAATCCAATAATATTTCATTCTTTTATAAGATAAATTTAAAAAAACTAAAATATTATTAAAAAAAAAAAAAGATGCCAAATTTTTTGCTTACACAACAAAAAAAAAAAGAATTTTTGAGATTTTATTTTCGAAAATATTTCTTTATTTAGGTTTTTAATTAACAAGGCATCAATGAATAGTTTCTTAATTTTGTTTTTGGAATTTTGGCTCTTTTCTATTATTTAAGTTCCTCCTTCGGTAGGATCCATACTATTTAACTTTTTTTTATTTAGACAATTTCTTTCATGTTGATTTTTTTTGATTTTAATTTTTTTATTCTTTTTGATTTTATTTTGATAAATTATTTGTTTATTATTTTTATTATCATTATTTTCGGCGTTACTAGTACAGATGCATTTACTATAGAATTTGTCATAAATTTGTACCGAACAATTTCAAATGACAAAACTTATTAAAAAATTAAATTGTTAATTTTGCTTCGCAGAACCTTAGTTCGCAAAATGATAATAAGAGGAATTTTTTTTTGAGAAGCTTTGGAGGCGATTTTTGATTTTAAAAATGAGAAGATTCGGAATTCATTATAACTAGATAAGAGGTAAAATGGGTTAATTCTGGTCGAAATATAGAAGTGCTCCTCAATGTTCTTATTACAACAATAAATTGTGACGGGATAATCTATTAGGCGCAGTTCTGCCGATCTATCGGAGAATGTAGCTTCTCCCCCATTATTATAAATCTAATTGTTGTAGCATCTTTTTGTCATGCGGAAAAGGAATCCCAGTTTTCTTAAACACTGCGCCTCTTATTTGAAATGTTATTGTCCGTGGTCGTAATAAAAGTGGAAGTGGAAGAGGAAGTGGAGGTGGAGGTGGCAATCGTAACCGTGCAAGAGGTGCGAACTCAAGTCATAGAGGACGTGGAGGACGTGATCGTGATAATAATATTGGTCGTCGTCGCGATGATGTTCAAAGACCTCCACCAACACATCTTAGCGTCCCAGAAATAAAGCAAGCGCAACAAGAAACGACCATGGCAAATTTTTGTTCTTCCGAATTATCATATAATGGTAGTTTTGGCCTTTCCATCGTTAGCTCTATTGAAAAAGGATAAATAATTAAACGATTGTGAGTAACAGAAACAAAATCATAGTTATG